CTGAGCTGGGGTCTCTTGCATGGTTGGAGAAGTTTCAGTCTCTGTAGTAGGTTCTGGAGTTATGGTAAGCCCCAGGTCCAAAGGTTTAACCGTGACTTTATTTAAGGTTGGATGCTGAACCTGAACCTGCTCTGACTGTGGAAATGTCACCTCAAGGTCCTTTGGAGGAGTTGTAGTCTGCTGCAGGGTTGTAGACTGTTTAACCTCTGTAGTAGATTCTGGAGTTATGGTAAGCTCCAGATCCAAAGGTTGAACTGTCACATTTGGTGACCACCAATGCTGAGCTTGATCCTGGTGTGGTGTTGGAACTGCTGCCTCTTGATATATGTGAGGTTGGGATACAAGTTCCTTAGTCGGCTCTGGATGCTGATCTGGGATCTCAGGCATGGCTGGAGAAGGTTCAACCTCGGCAGCAGATTCTGGAGTTATGGTAAGTTCCAGGTCCAAAGGTTTAACTGTGACTTTATTTAAGGTTGGACGGTGAGACTGAACCTGCTCTGAATGTGCAAGTGTCACCTCAAGGTCTTTTGGAGGAGATGTAGTCTTTTTCAGGGTTGTAAACTGTTCAACTTCTTTAGTGGGTTCTGGACTTACAGTAAGCTCCAGGTCCAAAGGTTGAACTGTTACATTGGGTGACGATGGATGCTGAGCTTGATCTTGACCTGGTGTCTGAACAATCTCCTCCTGATATACTGGAGATTGAGCTACAACAACCTCCTTAGGTGGCTCTGGAGGCTGAATTGGGGTCCCCCGCCTAGGTAGAGAAAGTTCAGTCTCGTTAGTGAATTCTGGAGTTATGGTAAGCCCCAGGTCCAAAGGTTGAACTGTGACTTCAGCCAAAGTTGGATGCTGAGTCTGAACCTGCTCTAGGTGTGCAAATGTCACTTCGAGGTCCTTTGGAGGAGCTGTAGTTTTCTTCAGGGCTGTAGAATGTTCAAACTCTGTAGTGGGTTTTGGAGTTACGGTAAGCTCCAGGTCTAAAGGTTGAGCTGTGACTTCAGTCAAATGTGGTTGCTGAGCCTGAACGTGCTCTGGATGTGGAAGTGTCACCTCGGGGTCCTCTGGAAGAGATAGAGTCTGCTGCAGGGCCGTGGAATGCTCAGCCTCTGTAGTAGGTTCTGGAGTTACAGTAAGCTCCAGATCAACAGGTTTAACAGTGGCACTGGGCAAGTTTGAATGCTGAGCTTGCTCTTGTCCTAGAGGTGGAATTGTCACCTCATTATGGACTGGAGGTTGTGCTACAACCTCCTTAGGTGGTTCTGGACGCTGAGCTAGAGCCTCTTGCTGGGTTGGAGAAGGTTCTACCTCCTTAAGGGGCTCTAGAGGTAGACATGGGGCTTCTTGCAGGACTGGAGAGGATTCTACCTTCTCAGGAGACTGTGGAAGCTGAGAATGGGTCTCTTGAGAGACTGGAAAAGGTTCCACTTTGTCAGGGAGTTCTAGAGGCTGAGCTGGGGCTTCCTGCTGGGCTAGAGATGGTTCTACCTTCTCCGGGGGCTCTGAAGGCTGAGCTGGGGCCTCTGGCTGTGTGGGAGAAGATTCCACCTCCTTAGGGGGCTCAGGAGATATAGCTGGGGCCTGCTGGGGGACAGGGGACTGAGCTGGGGCCTCCTGCTGGGTTGGAGAAGGTTCTACCTCCTTAAGGGGCCCAGGAGATTTAGCTGGGGCCTGTTGGTGAACTGGAGACTGAGCTAGAGCCTCCTGCTGGGTTGAAGATTCTGCCTCATTAGGGGGCTCTAAAGGCTGAGCAGGGGCTTCCTGCTGCACTGGGAATGGTTCTACCTTCTCAGGGGGCTCTGGAGGCTGAGATGGGGACTCTGGCTGTGTGGGAAAAAGTTCTACCTCCTTAGGGGGCTCAGGAGATATAGCTAGGGCCTGCTGGGGGACAGGAGACTGAGCTGGAGCGTCCTGCTGGGGTGGAGGTTTGACCTCCTCAGTGGGCTTTGGAGGATGAGCTGAGACTGCATGTTCATTTGCAGATGGTTCAATCTCCTTAGGGGGCTCTGATGGCTCAGCTAGGACCTCCTGTTGGCCTGAAGCAGGTTCTACCTCGTTAGGAGGGTCTGGAGTCTGAGCTATGAGCTCCTGTTGGCCTGGAAGAGATTCATTTTTGGGGATCTCCGGAGACTGGGAAAGAGGCTTGAACTGGATTGAAGAAAATTCAATCTGCTCAGGGGGAACTGGAGCCTGAGCAGGGACCTCCTGTTGCACTGGAGAATGTTCAACCTTAGTTGGCACTGGAGGTATGGAAGCCTCTAGATCTATAGGTTGAACTGTGATACTGGGCAACATTGGATGCTGAGCTTGACCGGGACCTAGAGGTGAGAATGTCACCTCATGATGTACTGGAGCCTGAGATACAATATCTGTAGAGAACTCTGGAGGCTGAGCTGGGTGCTCATACTCAACTGGAGAAGGCCCGATCCCCTCACTGGGCTTTGGACGCTGAGCTGGGACCGCGTGCTGGACTAGAGAAGGTTCTACACCCACAACAGACACTTGAGACAGAGCTGAGCTCCACTGCTGGCTTGGAGGAAGTTCAATTTCCTCAGGAAGATCTTCAGGCTGAATTGGGACTCCCTGCTGCACTGGAAAAGGTTCAAAATTTTCAGGGGGTGCTGGAGGCTGATCTGGGACCTCCCGCTGGATTGGAGATGGTTCAATTTCCTCAGGAAGATCTTGAGGCTGAGTTGGGACTTCCTGTTGGATTGGAGAAGGTTCAACATTTTCAGGGGGGGCTGGATGATCTCGGGCCTCCTGCTGGATTGGAGAAGGTTCAACATTTTCAGGGGGTGCTGGATGATCTCGGGCCTCCTACTGGATTGGAGAAGGTTCCAACTGCTCAGGGAACACCGCAGACTGAGCTGAGGCCTCTTGTTGGGGTAGAAAAGTTTCAACCTCATTAGTGGACCCTGGAGTTATGGTTAGTGCCAGACCCACAGGTTTAACAGTGACACTGGGCAACAGCAGAAGCTGAGCTTGACTCTGACCTAGAGGAGAAACTGTTACCACATGATGCTCTGGAGAGTAAGCTGGGACCTCCTCCTGTTGGGTTGGAGGAGGTTCAACCTCACCGGAAGGCTCTGGATGCTGAGCTATGGCTTCCTGCTGGATGGCAGAAGGGTTAACTTCCTCAGAGGTCTGTAGCTGCTGACGTGGGGCCTCCTGATGTGTTGCAGGTTTAACCTCCCCAAGGGGATTTGGATGCTGAACTGTGGCCTCTGAATGGCCTGGAGAACGTTCAATCCCCTCAAGAGACTCTGGATACTCAGTTGGGGTCTCTGGTTGGGTTGGAAAAGGCTCACCCTCCTCTGGGACCTGAGGGTGCTGAACTGGGGACTCCTCCTGGGTTGTAGAAGGTTTGATCCCCTCAGAGGTCTGCAGGTGCTCAGCTGGGGCTTCTTGTTGAGTTGGAGAAGGTGCAACCTGCTCAGATGTCTGTGGATCCCCACCCTGGCTCTCGTCCTGGGTTGAAGATTCACCCTTCTCAGGGGTCTGTGGAAATTGAGCTGGAGCCTCCTCCTGGGATGGAGACAGTTTTCCTTCCTCAGGGGCTTGTGGATGCTGGACTGGGGTCTCCTGCTGGGTTGAAGGTTTAACTTTCTCAGGAGTCTGTGGATGATGACCCTGGCTCTCCTCCTGTATTGAGGAAGGTTTGGCCTCTACAGGGGTCTGTGGAAGCTCAGCTGGGGCCTCCTGCTGGGCTGGAAAAGGTTCACCCTCTTCCTGGGTCTCTGGAGGTTTGGCCAGGGCCTCCTCCTGGGTTGAATATGGTTCACCCTCGGGGCTCTGTGATTGCTGAGCCAGGGCCTCCTGTTGGGTTGTGGGAGGGTTAACTTCTCCAGGATACTCGGGATGCTGAACTGGGGTTTCCTGCTGTGTTGGAGGTTTCTCCTGTGTGGTAGATTCTGGGGATTCAGTTGGAGTCTCCTGTTGAACTGGCAAAGGTTCAGCTTCCTCAGGAGACTGTGGAGGCAGAGTTGGGGCTTCATGCTGCATTGCAAATGGTTCCACATTAAGGGGCACAGAGGGCTGAGCTGCAGCCTCATCCTGAACTGGCAAGGGTCCCACCTCTGTAATGGGTTCTGGTGTTATAGTAACCTGCACATCTGCAGGTTTAACACTGACATTGGGCAGGTTTAAATATTGAACATGATGGTGACCTGGAGGCGAAACGGTCACCTCATGATGACCTAGAGGTTGAGCTGGGTGCTCCTGCTGGGTTGGAGAAGGTTCCACCTCCCCAGAAGGCAGCTCTGGAGGCTGAGCTGGTTGTTCCTGTAGGGTTGCTGAAGATTCTATCTCTCCTGGAGACTGAGCTGGGGTCTCTTGCTGGGTTGAAGATTCTGCCTCATTAGGGAGCTCTGCAGCCTGAGCTGAGGTCTCCTCCTGGGTTGAGGAAGATTCAGCTTCTCCAAAAGGCTCTGGAAGCGGAGCTGGGGGCTCCTGCTGAGCTAGAGAATGTTCTGCCTCTTCAGGATTCTCTGGGGGCTGAGCTGGGATCTCCTGCTGAGTGAGAGAGAGTTCAGATTCCTCACTAGGCTCAGAAAGCAGAGCTGGTGGTTCCTGTCCGCTTGGAGGCTTAGCTTCCGCAGGAGGCTCTGAGGGCTGAGCTGGGGTCTCCTGCTGAGTTAGAAAAGGTTCAACCCGCCCAGGAGACTGAGAAGGCTGAGCTGGTTGCTGCTCACTTGAAGGCTCAACCGCCTCTGGAGGCTGAGCTGAGGTCTCTTGCTGGGTTGGAGAAGGTTCTGCTTCCTCAGTATGCTCAGGAGGCTGAGGTGGAGCCTCCTGCTGGGCTGTAGAAGATCCAACCTCCTTAGCCGGCTCTGGAGTTATGGTAAGTTCCACATCCGCAGATTTATGTGTAACACTGGAAAACCTTAAATAAGTTAGATAGTGGCTTATAGGTTGACTTATCACCTCATCACTTACTGAAGTTTGAAGTAGATACTCCATAGGATACTCTGGAACTAAAGTTGGGGCCTCCTGCTGGACTGGACTAGGTCCAGCCTCCTCGGGGCGCTCTACAGGCTGAGCCAGGGTTTCTGGCTGGGCTGGGGTGGGCCCAGCCTCCTCGGGGAGCTCTGCTGGCCAAGCCGGCACCTCCGGCTGGACTGGAGTGGGCCCAGCCTCCTCGGGGAGCTCTAGTGGCTCAACTGGGGCCTCTAGCTGGACTGGTGTAGGCACAGCCTCCTCGGGGCGCTCTACAGGCTGAGCTGGGGCCTCCTGCTGGGTTGGAGAAGCCTGAGCCTCCTCGGTGCGCTCTGGAGGCTGAGTTAGAGTTACAGTAAGTACCAGATCCACAGGTTTAACAGTGACGTTGGAGAAATTTGGCCACTGAGCTTCTTTCTTACTTAGAGATGGCACATTCACCTCATGTGCTGTTGGTTGAGGTACCCTCTCCTTAGATGGCTCTGGAGGTTGAGCTGGGGCCTCCTGAGGGGTCAAAGGTTCTACTTCCTTAGGGGCCTGTGTAGGTTGATCTGAGGCTTCCTGTTGGACTGAAGGTTTGATCTCTTCAACGGTACTTGAAGGCTCAGCTGGGGCCTCCTGTGGGTTTATAGCTTCCTTAAGGATCTCTGGAGGCGGAGATGGAGACCCCTGCTGAATTGGAGATGTTTCTATCTCTTCAGGGGGCTCTGGATGTTGGGCCTGGGCCTCCACCTGAGACAAAAAAGATTCAGCTTCCTCAGGCAACTCTAGATGATTTGGGGTCTCCTGCCGGAGTGGAGGAATTTCAACCTCCTCAGGGAGCTTTGGAGGTTGATCTGATCCCCCTGGGAAATCCATTGGTAGGTTCTCCTCAGGTTATAGGATATCCATACTGGAATCTGAATAATCATCCTGCAACTCTTGTTCTAGGTGGTCTTTATTTGTAAATTGGTTTGGAGTTCCAACAACTTTGGCAAGCCTTTGATGCTGAGCTAGATCTTTCTCCAGGTTTGGGGGTGAAACAATGAACTTTGTT